TTAAGTCATAAAGATACTCTTCTTTTCTTCCATTAATTTTATAGTTTTTACCTTTTACATTTTGGTCTTTAATCCATCTGGATTCTGTCTTTGTACATGGTGTTATGTGAGGATTCTGGCTCATTTTTCTCTGTATAGTGCGTCAGTTTTCCTCACAACATCTACTAAACAGCTCTTCATTTCCCCATTGACTTATAATGCCACTTTTATGCTAAATGAAATTTGTATGTATATTTATATTAATATATAATGGGTCTGATTCTCATTTTTCTCTTTTGTTCCATTGATTTACTTGTATAGCCTTGTTCAAATTATCATACTATTCTAAACATTTTGTGATTAAGGAGAATGTCAAATATAAGCAAAACTAGGCAGATTAATATAATGAACTCCCATGTACCCATTGCCAAACTTCCATAATTATAAACTCATGTCAGTTTTTTAAAATCTATATTCCACCCACTCTCTACACCTTCTGCATTATTTTGAAGACAGTCCACGATATGTCATTTTATCTGTAAATATTTCAGGATGAATCTCTATAAGATACAGAAGTAAAACAAAAACAATCTCAATGCCATTATCACAACAATAAGAAAAGAACAATAACTCCTTGACATCATCAGACATCTAGTCAGGGTTCAAACTCCCAGTTGGTTCATAAATGAGTGTGTAGTTTTTAATACTTTGTTTGACTCAGAATCCAAGTAAAGCGTGATTCATTGGTGTGCCTCACAAGTTATTTCAATTTACTGATTGTCCCCTCCATCTCTTTCTTTCCTCTTGTGTTTTATTTAAGGAAGAAACTTGATCTTTTTCCTGTAACCTTTCCAGTCTTGATTTTGCTGAATGAATCCCTATGGTGTTATTCAATGCGTTTCTCTGTTCTCTGTATTTCTTAAAAGTTTATACCGGGATCTAGAGACTTGATCAAATTCAGGTTTCATTTTTTTGAGAAGACTACAGAAATGGAGGTGTGTTCTTCCATCAGGTTGCTTAGTTCTTTTTCTTTTTGTGATGATCAATATTCAGATGCATTATTTTGTTGAGGAATGCAAAATAATGAAATTTTAATTCTTTCAATTCCTCTTCGTTTATTACCTGGAATATACTATTAAGAGAAATATCGCCCTGTCTTCCATTTTGTTACTCAGTGGTGCAATTCAGTTAGGAAAGTCAGGATAAAACCTTGATTGTTTTCCTTTAGTTACATGTTTTCAAAATAATAAGTTGGTTTACTAGCATATTCCGAGGTGGCTAGTTTTTTTTTTTTATTGAGTTCATAATAGTTTACATCAATGTGAGATTTCAGTTGTACATTATTTCTTGACTGTCACCACATAAATGCTCCCCTTCACCCCCTGTGCCCATCCCCTACCCGCTTTCCCTGGTAAACACTGAACTGTTTTCTTTGTCCATGTGTTTGTTCATATTCGACATATGAGTGAAATCATCTGGCGTTTGTCTTTCTCAGTCTGGTTTAGCTCCTTCCATGTTATTGCAGATGGGATGGATTTGTCTTTTTTTATGGCTGAGTAGTATTCCATTGTATATATAAATACCACATCTTCTTTATCCAATCATCAGTCGTTGGGCACTTGGATTGTTTCCATGTCTTGGCTATTGTGAATAGTGCTGCAATGAACATAGGGCTGCATATGCTACTTTGGATTGTTGATTTGAAATTGTTTGGGTGGATACCCAGTAGTGGGATAGCTGGGTTGTATGGTAATTCTATTTTTAGTTTTTTGATGAATCTCCATACTGTTTTCCATAGTGGCTGCACTGGTTTGCATTCCCATCAGCAGTGTATGAGGGTTCCCTTCTCTCCACACCCTCTCCAACATTTGTTATTTTTATTCTTAGTGATTATAGCCATTATAACAGGCGTAAGGTGGTATCTTAGTGTAGTTTTTTTTTTTTTTTTGAGGAAGATTAGCCCTGAGCTAACTACCGCCAGTCCTCCTCTTTTTGCTGAGGAAGCCTGGCCCTGAGCTAACATCCGTGCCCATCTTCCTCTACTTTATATGTGGGACACCTACCACAGCATGGCATGCCAAGCAGTGCCATGTCCACACCCGACATCTGAACCAGCGAACCCCGAACCGCCAAGAAGTGAAATATGCGAACTTAACCGCTGTGCCACCAGGCTGGCCCCTTAGTGTAGTTTTGATTTGCATTTCCCTAGTGATTAGTGATGTCGAACATCTTTTCATGCGTTTGTTGACCTGTATATCTTCTTTGGAAAAATGTCTGTTCATATCCTCTGCCTATTTTTTGATCAGGATTGTTATTTTATTGTCCAGTTGTGTGAGTTCCTTATATATTATGGAGATTAACCCCTTGTCAGATATATTATTTGCAAATATTTTCTCCCAATTTGTGGGTTGTCTCTTTGTTTTGATTCTGGTTTCTTTTGCCTATTAGTTTTTAAATTTTGTTTTATGTTTTAATATCACAGTGAACTAATGAATTTAAACATATTTGATGTGCTTCAATCTATTGCAGTTATTGTTTTTATTGATGCTTAACTTGATCACCTTTGGTCTTTGGGAGCCTCTCCAAATTGGCTCCTAGGAGGGTCTGTTCAGCGTGACTTAGTGATTTTGGGCATCATCCTTCCTATATGGCAGGCCAAGGTGTTCCAGTTTTATCTTGTTCATTTTCTGCCTCAGACCCACAATCAGCCATTTCTCTGAGGAGCCCTGATTTGTTTTGTGGGAAATAATATTTGAAGACCACAATTGGGCTACCATACATAAAAAAATAATACTCTAGATTTTTAGTATGCATTAATATCTAGTGGAACATTTCTATTTCTTAGTTGTTATTTTTCAAAGTTGACTTAGCTATTTGTGGACCTTTATTTTTCTATGTCAATTTGAGAGTGAGTTTCTCAAGTTCCTCAAAGAATGCCACTAGAATTTTGATTGGAATTTCATTGAGTTTATATATCAATTTCAAGTAAATTGACATTTTATAATATTAAGTTGCCCCAGCTAAGATGCTGGAATGGCTTTCTATTTATTCAGATGATTTTCTAGGTCTTTCATTAGTTTTTTTTTTTTTTTTTGCCATAGAGATCTTATGTGTGTGTGTGTGTGTGTGTGTGTGTGTGTGTGGGTTTGTGTATTCTGTCTTTTTCTCTCCACCTTAAAAAATATCATTCTTGCCTGAGGCCTGTCCATCTGACTATTTTTTTAGTGTGTTTTTTTCTTCTTCTCCCCAAGGCTCCCCCCCCCAGTACAGAGATGTATATTCTAGTTGTAGGTCCTTCTGGTTGCGTTATGTGGGATGCTGCCTCAGCATGGCTTGATGAGTGGTACCATGTCTGTGCCCAGGATCCGAACCAGTGAAATCCTGGGCCGCCGAGGCAGAGTGTGCGAACTTAACCACTTGGCCTCGGGGCCAGCCCCATCTTACTATTTTTCAAAGAAACAGCTTTCTGGTTTTTATTCTTCACTTTCCCTTTTTTTCCCATTTCGTTGATTGCTTCCTTTACCTGTATTATTTTCTTTTTCCTATTTTTCTTTGGGTTTGCTCTGTTGCTCTTTTTCTAACTTCTTGATGCAAATGCTTAGCTTATTTTAAAATTTTGTTTACTGATAAATGTATTTAAAGCCTTAAAGTTCTCTTGGTGTCCCACAGATTTCTGACATGTGGTGTTTTAATTGCCCTTGAGTTCTAAGAATTTCATAATTGTATTTATGATTTACCTTTTTAACCCAATAGTTTTATAGCAATACGTTATTTACTTTATAAACATATGAGAGTATTTTTTCTCTTTCGTCTCTCTCAGACTCAATTTCTAATTTACTTGAGATATTCTTAGCTGGCGACATAGTTTTATTTTTCTGGAACTAGGAAATTGCACTTCTTGAATGGATTTACACCATGGAAACAAGATTGGATTAAGGTATGCTGATCTTATGTTATTTGGCCAGGTAACCTGAGCTCAAAAGATTTAGTACTTAAAAGGTGAGATTTTGATTAGTTGGAGGTAAACTTGAATTGAATTCTCCTGTCCTTACCATGTGATGTTCCCAAGGAAGAAGAATGGTAATATCCTATATGTGCTTTTTGCCTCATTGTTGACAAAACTCTTTTCATAATCACTTTTTACTTCAGGCTTCCCAACAGCCTGGTGAGGTACATAGGAAAGTGATTTAACCTCTGACTTCATCTGTCAGACAGCATTAAAAGTACTTCCAGACCACTGTGGATTGTTGTGAAGACTAATTAATTAGAGCCAATAATCCTTTCTCTCACTACCTCAGTGGGTTGGGGCGCTCTGGTGAGATATAAAATTACAAAGGTGGGGCCGGCGGGTGGCACAGCGGTCAAGTTCACACATTCCTCTTCGTGGCCCGAGATTCAGCGGTTCAGATCCTGGGTGCGGACATGGCACTGCTTGGCAAGCCACGCTGTGGTAGGCGTCCCATGTATAAAGTAGAGGAATATGGGCACGGATGTTAGCTCAGGGTCAGGCTTCCTCAGCAAAAAGAGGTGGATTGGCAGCAGATGTTAGCTTAGGGCTAATCTTCTTCTTCAAAAAAACCAAAAAAACAAAAAAAACCCCCAAAATTACAAAGGCATACAGCAACCTGAGTGCTTATTTTGGTAGTAGAAACAGTCACTTGTTTCTACTCCCAAGTTCCTCCTTGTTTAGAGCACATTGAGGAGAAGCTGGAAAAAGATACCATAAGTGAGCACCAGATCTATGGCATGTACCTGATATATGTTCATTGATTGGTTAGATACCAAGGGGTCTAACTGGCACCAGGGCCCTCCTTTTGGGTGTGCAACCTGTGCATAGGGCCTCCACTCCCAGAAGGACCCCATGCTTGTTTTAATGCTTTGCTGTTGTCCTCTTAAAATTCATAGTAATGTTATCTTTGATCTGTGTTTTGTAAACAAAGACTGTAAATGAAGTGTGTGTTTGTGGGCTCAGGTCCACAGGCATGGAAGGTAATGTGGCACAAATAGGCCTTTTGTGTCGTCTAGGGCACATAGGGCTCCAACGTAGTCAGGCTAGGACCTGCGTCCGGATTGGTGCTGTTGATGGTGGGGGACAGCAGCAGCAGAAGCAGCAGCCCTGGTAGCAGGAGCTGTAGGGGCAGGAGAGAGCAGGGCCTCCCCACTGGGGAAGCACTGAGGCTCGCAGTGCGAGACGGGCTTGCCCGTGGTCAGTCCTTCAAGCAGTCCCTATGGGATTTACATCAATATTAACTCTGCAGCCTGAGTGCTGGGATGAGAGCTGCTCACACCCAGGCATTAAACTTTGGCAGTAAATTGTTACACAATAAAAGCGTACACATGGAATTGTAATAATGCATATATAAAGGAGTTAGAATTTTTCAAAGAGTTTGGAATTTCTGGTTTTGAAAACTGCTTAAATACCTAAAGGTTTAGCAATATAAATTACATTTAAAGATCATCCTATTCAACAGAAAATAAAACTATTTTCATATGAAGCTTTGGATGAACCAATTACTAAGGAGGAAGACTCTTTTTAAATTAATTTCCTTGTAATTGAATATACAGCGATAGAATGCATGAACAGGTGTTTTGAATTATGTACAAATCATGAAGCTACCTTCAGTTTATTGTACAACCCCCAGAAGTTCCAAAACTGTCAGAAGAGAAATTACAATACGATTGTCTAATGTACATTTAAAATTAAATTCAGAATTACACGAAACTGATTTGTATGATGAGTTAAACCTTTTGAAAAAAATTGTTTAATGAGAATCATCAACTCTAGTTGTACTAGAATTTGTATATGAATCCCAACACTGCCGCAGGCCGTGAAATACTCTCATCAGCTCCGGTAACCGTTGCATCAGCAGGAAGAGCCTTCTCTAAATTTGAAATTATCAAAAATTATTTGCCATCTTTCGTTTGCCAAGAAAGACTGATGGTGCTTTCAGTTATGTTGATTGAAAATGAAGTTGCTAAAAATATAAAGTTTGATGACCTAATAAATAACTTTGTAGAGAACTGAGCCAGAAAAATCTTGTAATCAAGATACCACATTAATAAAGTATTAGTATTTGTTGTGTTATATAATATTATGATGCCAAAAATATTTTTTGCAGTTTGTAAATTTGTTCTTAATCGTTGCGATAGACAGAATAGTGTTCCCCGTTCAACACACACACCAGGGATGTCCAAGTCCTAATCCCCAGAACCGCTGAATATGTTACCTTACACGGTCAAAAAGACTTTGTAGTTGTGATTAAATTAAGGGTCTTGAGATGGGGAAAGTCACCTGGATTATCCAGGTGGGACCAGTGTAATCACAAGTGTTCTTAAAAGGGAAAGAAAGAGGAGGGAAAGTCAGAGAAGATGTGATGAGAGAAGCAGAGAGGAGAGACATGAAGGAGAGGGCAGGGAGAGTGAGAGAGGTTTGGAGATGCGATGCTGCTGGCTTTTTTTTTTTTTTTTGAGGAAGATTAGCTCTGAGCTAACATCTGCCGCCAATCCTCCTCTTTTTGCTGAGGAAGACTGGCCCTGAGCTAACATCCGTGCCCATCTTCCTCCACTTTCTATGTGGTACGCCTGCCACAGCATGGCTTGCCAAGCAGTGCTGTGTCCGCACTCAGGATCTAAAACAACGAGCCTGGCTGCGGAAGCAGAAGGTGCGCGCTTAACCGCTGCGCCACCGGTCTGGCCCCTACTGCTGGCTTTGAAAATGGAGGAAGGGGCCAGAAACCAAAGAATGCCTCTAGTAGTTGAAAAGGCAAAGAAATGAATTCTTGCCTAGAGCCTGCAGAAGGAATGCAGCCCTGCTGACATGTTGAATATAGGACTTGGGACCTCCAGGACTGGGAGATAATACACTTGTGTTGCTTTGAGCTACTACCTTTGTGGTAAGTTGTTACAGCAGTATTGGGAAATTAACACACCCATATATCACTATTACCCCTGTTAAATTTTATAAATAATGAAATACTTTTACAGGAAAAAAACTTTATATGTTAATACGTCTAATGGCACTTTTTCCACAAGGGGTTTGCATTTTCATTTTTCACCGGACCCCATAAATTATGTGCCTAGCCCTACCTTGGGAACATTCAGGGGGAACTGTGCAGCAAGCACTCTGAAGCTCAGGAGAGTGGTCTGGCCTCAACATAAAGATTTGGAAACCATCAGCATGTTAGTTGTAACCTTGAAAACAGATCAGACCACCCAGGAAGAGTGAAAAGGATGGTGATCCTAAGCCCATCCATTCCTATTTCATACACACACAGAGTTTTCTTCTTTTGGTAATTTTCTGATATATGAATAGGGATAATGTTTTATACATACTTTTCATATACTGATGCTTTTACTTCTGTGAGATAAATTCCTAGGAGTAGGATGTCTGGCTCAAGGACATGCATATCAAAAATGAAATTGTAATTTCCATTTCCAGTAGCAATGGATGGCACTACTTATTGTTACTTTAATTTGCATTTCTTTAACTGTTAGTGAGCATGTTCTCAAACGTTTACCAAACATTTGCATTTGTTCTGCTGTGAATTGCTTGTTTTTCTATATGCTTTCTCTCCCTCTATCCATGCCTCTCGTTTTATTATTTTTAAGGGAATATCTACATACTGGCCAAGACTTCATATTGTCGGTTATTTTAATTTTAGCCATTCTAGTGGGTGTGAAGTGGTATCTGATTATAGTTTTAGTTTGCATTTCTCTGATGACTAATGACATTGAGCATCTTTTCATGTGCTTATTGGCCATTCCAAAATCTTCTCTTGTTAATGTGTTTTGAAGTTCTTTGATCATTTAAAAAATTATAGATATTAGGCCTTTTAGTCTCGTAAGTGTTTAAACTATATATGTATGTAGGTATATGTGTATTAACCTAGTAGATCAATTTGTTAAATTTGGTTAAGATATATTTTGCCATACAAAATCTTATTTTCTTCATTGTGTTAATATATACATACCATGAAATTTATCATTTTTAAGCATACGGTCCAGAAGCATTCAGTACACTCACATTCAGTACACTCACATTCAGTGCATTCACATTCAGTGCACTCACATTCAGTGCACTCACATTCAGTGCACTCACATTCAGTGCACTCACATTCAGTGCATTCACATTCAGTACACTCACATTCAGTGCACTCACATTCAGTGCATTCACATTCAGTACACACACATTCAGTGCACTCACATTCAGTGCACTCACATTCAGTGCACTCACATTCAGTACACACACATTCAGTGCACTCACATTCAGTACACTCACATTCAGTGCATTCACATTCAGTGCATTCACATTCAGTACACACACATTCAGTGCACTCACATTCAGTACACTCACATTCAGTACACTCACATTCAGTGCATTCACATTCAGTACACTCACATTCAGTGCACTCACATTCAGTACACTCACATTCAGTACACTCACATTCAGTGCATTCACATTCAGTGCATTCACATTCAGTACACTCACATTCAGTGCATTCACATTCAGTGCATTCACATTCAGTACACTCACATTCAGTGCACTCACATTCAGTACACTCACATTCAGTACACTCACATTCAGTGCATTCACATTCAGTACACTCACATTCAGTGCATTCCCATTCAGTGCACTCACATTCAGTACACTCACATTCAGTGCATTCACATTGTTGTACAGCCATCATCACCTTATATTTCCAGAAGTTTTTCATCATCCCAACGAAACTCTGTACCTATTAAAAATAATTAAATTTTTAAATCATCAAATATGTTGGGCTTTTCTTTTCTAGCGTCTGTTCTTCTTGTCTTGGTTGACAAGGTTCCCTGTACATCTAGATTATACATGTGATTTCTTAGATTTTTTTGCACCACTTTTATTGTTTTATTTTTATATCTAAATTGTTAGTCCATTTAGAATTTATTTTTATACGTAGTGTGAGAAAGAGAACAAACTCCATTTTGTTCCAAGTAGAGTGCCCAATATACGTGCCAGTGCATACACTGAGTAAAGTGTCTTTTTCCCATTGTATTAAAATATCACCTTTGTCATAAATTATCATAAAGACTGGAATCAGTTTCTGGGCACTTTGCTCCACTGATCTAGTTGCTTATTTCTGTGCCAATATCATATTGTTTAGTTGCAGTTTAGTATCTAATAAATCAAATTCCACCTCACCATTCTCCTTCATGATTTTCCTGGATATTCTTAGATATGTATGTTCTTATATGGATTTTAATATTATTTTTATTTATTTATTTATTTATTTGGTGAGGAAGGTTAGCCCTGAGCTAACATCTGTGCCAATCTTCCTTTATTGTGTGTGTGGGACGCTGCCGTAGCATGGCTTGATGAGTGGCGCGTAGGTCCATGTCTGGGATCCAAACCCACAAACTCTGGGCTACCAAAGTGGAGGGTACAAACTTAACCACAGTGCCCCTGGGCTGGCCCCAATATTATTTTATTTTATTAAAACCACAAATCTATTGGAGTTCTACTAGGTATTATATTTATATATTATCTTTGAGAGAATTTACATTTTTATATTGTTATCTACCTATCCAAGAAAATGGTATGTCTTTCTATATTTTCAGATTGAATTTTATGCCCTTTAATAAAAATTTTGTAGTTTTTTTTTTAAAGATTTTAGTTTTCCTTTTTCTTCCAAAGCACCCCCGGTACGGTACATAGTTGTGTATTTTCAGTTGTGGGTCCTTCTAGTGTGGCATGTGGGATGCCGCCTCAGCATGGCCTGACGAGCAGTGCCGTGTCTGCACCCAGGATTCGAAGCAGCGTAGCCCTGGGCCGCGAAGCAGAGCGTGCAAACTCAACCACTTGGCCATGGGGCCAGCCCCAATATTTTATAGTTTTTTAATCTAGTTTCTGTACTTCTTATATTGAGTTTATTCCTAATGTTTATATGCATGCAATTGTCAATAAAACACTTTCTCCCATTTCCACTTGATTTCTTTTGCTCAGCTTCATGTCCGTGAGATTTATCCATGTTGCATGTATAAGTAGTTTGCTCATTTTGATTACTGAGTAGTATTCCTGTGTATTTAATATACTGTGAGTTATTTATCCATTCACCTATTGATGGACATTTGGCTAATAAGAATAAAACTCCTATGAACAACCTTTTAAAATTGTTCTTTGAAATAAATGTTTATACTTCTCTTTGCTAACCACTTGGCTGTGGAAGTTCCTCTAGGTGTGTGTTTAACTTTGTACGAAACTGCCAAACTTTTAAAAACTGGTTTGTACGATTTTATGCTCCCACCAGCAAGGTAGGATAACTCTATTTGCTCCACATCCAGGTCAGCGTTTCATACTGTTAGTCTTTTTAGTTTTAGCCATCCTAGTGGGTATGAAGTAGTATCTCATTGTGGTTTTAAATTGCATTTCCCTGATGACTAATGCCTTTGAACACTTTTTCATGTACTTACTGGCCATTATGTTTTCCTTTGGGAAGTGTGTGTTCAAAATCTTTTGCCAACTTTTTAACGTTAAGTTGTGTGTCTTTTTGTTATTGATTTGTTGGAGTTCTTTTGTCATTTGTATGTATTGAGAATATTTTCACCCACCCTGTGAGAGTTTATTTTCTTAACTGTACTTTGAAGAATAGGTGTTTATAATTTTCAATAACGTCCAATTTAACATTGTTTTCCTTTGATGCTTTATGGCCTTTTATATTCTCGTTAAGTAATCTTTACTTCAAAGTTGTGAAAATATACATCCATTTTTTTCTAGAAGCATTATAGATTTAGCTTTTATATTTAAGACTATGATCCATCTCAAATTAATTTTTTAAAATTGAGATATAGTTTGCATACCATGATTCACCATTTTAAACTGTACAATTCAATGGATTTTAATATATTCACATGGTTGTGCAACCATTACTACTATCTAATTGCAGAACATTTTCATCACCCCCAAAAGGACTCTGTACCCCTGGAAACCATTAATCTACTTTTTGTCTCTATGAATTCGTCTATTCTGGACATTTCATATAAATAGAGTCCTACAATATCTGACCTTTGTGTCTGGCTTCTTCTATTTAGCATAATGTTTTCAAAGTTAACCCATGTTTTAACATGTATCAGTACTTGATTCTTTTTTATGACACAATAATATTGCATTGTATGGGCATACCACATTTTGTTTGTCCAGCAGTTAATGGACATGTAAGTTGTTTACACTCTCTAGCTATTATGAATAATGCTTCTGTGAACATTTTTGTACAAGTTTCAGTATACGCATATGTTTTCCATTCTCTTGGGTGTATACTTAGGTGTGGAATTTCTGGATCCCACAACTGTATGTTTAACCTCTCTGCGTTGCCATAGTCCTTTTGTCAAATATCAAAAAATTGTGTATGTGTGGGTTTCTTCCTGGGCTCTCTATTCTGTTCTGTTTTTTTTTTTTTTTTAATTTGTGGATCCTATGCCAGTAGCACACTGTCTTGATTATTGTAGTCTTAAAGTAAGTATTGAAATCAGATAGTGTGTGTTCTCCCATTTTGTTCTTTTATTTGAAGATTGTTTTGGCTATTCTATTACCTTTGCAATTCCATGTAAGTTTTAGAATCAGCTTGTTGGTTCCTTTCAAAAGGTCTGCTAGGATTTTGATTGTGATTACATTGGCCAAATTTGGGCAAAATAGACATCTTAATGATATTGTATTGTCCAATTTTTGAATTTGGTATATATCACCATTTATTTAGGTCTTTCTATCTTTCTCTTAGCAACGTTATGTCTTCCTTAAATATTTGAAGGAATTGACCAGTGAAACCACAAAACTCACTGGTCCTGAGCTTGGAGTATTTTTTTTTTTTTAAAGATTTAATTTTTTCCTTTTTCTCCCCAAAGCCCCCCCCGGTACATAGTTGTGTATTCTTCGTTGTGGGTTCTTCTAGTTGTGGCATGTGGGACGCTGCCTCAGCGTGGTCTGATGAGCAGTGCCATGTCCGCGCCCAGGATTCGAACCAACAAAACACTGGGCCGCCTGCAGCGGAGCACGCGAACTTAACCACTCGGCCACGGGGCCAGCCCCCTGAGCTTGGAGTTTTTGCTGTGAGGAGTTTACTTTGTTAAAATCGGCTTTGTTGAAGCATAGTTTATGATAAAACATCTATTTTAACTGCATAGTTCAATGAGTTTGACAAATAATGTCCTCTGCAAACAGAATTTTACTTCTTCCTTTTTGATCTCTGTGCATTTTATTTCATCTTCTTACCTAATACACTGGCTAGAACCTTCAGTGCAATGTTGAATAGAAGAGGTAAGAGCAGATATTCTTGCCATTTCCTTGATCTGATGTGGAAAGCATTCAGTGTTTCACTGTTAGTATGATGTTTACTGTAGAATTTTTGCAGAAGCCCTGTGTCAATTTAAAGAAGTTTTCCTCTATTCTTAGTTTTGAGTGTTTTTTATTTACCTTTCATCATGGATAAGATTTGAATTTTATCAAATGCTTTTTGATATCTATTGGGTTAATCATATAGTTCTTCTTTGTTATTCTCTTCATATAGTGCATTACCATGAATGACTTTTAAATGTGAAATCTACCTTGCATTCCTGGGACAAACCTTATTTGATCATAATATATTAACATTTTTATCTGTTGCTGGGTTTGATTTGCTGAAGTTTTGTACATCTATAAGGGATATTACTATGTAGTTTTCTTGTAATGTCTTTGGCTGACATCAGGGCTATGACGGCTCATTAAATGAGGTGAGAATGTTTTCTTCTGTTTTCTGGCTGAAATTATTAAAGACTGAAAATTCTAATTTTGGGCAAGGATGTGGGGCCCCTGGAACCCTTATATATTGCTGGTGTGAGTTTAAATTTTTTCAATCACTGTGCAAAACTGTTTGCCAGTATCTACCAGAGCTTGACATACACCTGTACTATAACCCAGCACTTTAACTCCTAGCTATACACTCAAGAGAAATGAGTGCTGATGTCCACCAAAAGGTCTGTTTAAGAATGTTCGTAGAAGCTTTGTTTATAAGGGCAAAAACTGGAAGCAACCTGCATATTCATCAAGAAGAGAATGGAGAAATAACTTATGGTATACTCATACAGTGGAATTTCACAGAGCAATAAAGAGAGCAAACTACTAATACGTTAATATGGATGCATCAGAAACATAATGTTGAATCAGAGAAGCCAGACCAAAAGAGTACATACTGCGATTCCATTAATTTAAAGTTCAAGTACTGACAAAACTAATGGATGGGTTTAGAAATCATATTAACAATCAGCTCTGCGTAGAGGTGGATTCGGATTCTGAAAGGGCCATGAAGGATTCTCTTGAGTGATGGTAACATTCTATATCTCCCCCTGGGTGTTGCTTACACAGGTGTTACATATGTGAAAATTCGTAAAGCTGTGCATTTAGGATTTAGGTGGGTTACTGTATGTGATTTGTATTTCTAATGGAATAAAACATTAATCCTGCTTGGAACTCAGTGAGCCAAACTTTATTGTTCTTTAATTAGGGGAAATTTTTCCTCTATTATTTGCTTAATTATTGCCCCTCATGCATGTGTTTTTGGTTCCTCCTAAAATTTCTTTTATTCATGGATTAGGTATTCTGGATACATTTGTTTTCTAAGTCCTTTTTGTACTTTTCTTCTGTTTTTGAAAGATTTCCTATACTCTTCTAGGCCTCTAATTTTTTGTCTAGACAAGTGATCAGCTTTTCCTTCAA